GGCCGTGGGGCTCGTGGCACTCGCTGGGATGCTCTTCTGCGCCCAACCAGAGCTGGGGTGGCACTGGCTCTCTGCAAAGGTGGATCCGCAGCATTTCCAGCTGAGCTGGGTGGGAGCCCGGAGATGGTGCTGGGCTGCTTTCCTAATTCAAGTGATCTCTTCTGTATTTCAGGATCTGGTAAAGAGTCATTTGATGTATGCGGTAAGGGAGGAAGTGGAGGTCCTCAAAGAGCAAATCAAAGAGCTGATAGAGAAGAACTCACAGCTGGAGCAAGAAAACACTCTGCTAAAAACACTTGCCAGCCCCGAGCAGCTTGCCCAGTTCCAAGCACAGCTGCAGACTGGTTCCCCGCCTTCCTCTTCCCAGTCACAAGGGACAACACAGCAGCCTGCCCAGCCGGCATCACAGGGGTCAGGGCCTTCAGCATAGTTCAAGATGTCATTGCCATCGTGATTGCTGGCCTCTGGACTGCCCAGAGCAAGAAGGACTAGCGGGAATCCGCCACAGCCACCCTTCATCCATTTCAATAAACATTGCAGCACAGACTGAGGACTCCATGCCCTGTACACATCAGGAGAGGCTTCTCCCCCCTGTATTACGTGCTCATCTGTCTCTCTCTCCCTCCCTTCCCCCTTTGGCTTGAAGGAGTCTTGGTTCTTAGGTTGATTGAATAAAATAAACTTCTTCCAGAGAATTAGCACAAGTACACTGGGGACTTGAGCAGCTTCTACAAATGGCTGAGAAACGAAGCTGCATGCCTGAATTTTTTTTTTGTTTTTAAATCTTCCACTCATCCAGTGACATAACTGATACAAGTGCTTTTCAAGCTTGGAAAAATGAAGAAATAGACTGGAGTAAAAAGTGATGGCTCAATCCCCCATAGTGCACTGGGGTTCCAAAGTGAGGTCTGGTGCATAGGATCTTAAGAGGAAGAGGGGAAAAAGGTAAATTCAGTGTTTAACACTTAATTGTCACCTGAAACCTTAAGTGCAAATATTTGCACCGTTTTCTGAAGCAGTGGACAGGTGCATAAAGCTGTATTATATATAGAAAGCAAGTAGGTGACGTACAGTTGGGTCATAGGATAATTACAATGAAGGTTATTTGCCTACTGTATATTTGTGTATTTAGTGTAATTACTTTGTAAAATAGAGAACTGTAACTATTTAGGTTGTACAGATTGAAGTTTAGTTGTTTCATTGGCTGATCTGAAGAAGTTTGGAAAGTTTTTTTTTATGCTACATAAATAAGAATGCACCTACACAACTGTTCAGAATTTGGCAGATTTATGCTGTTTGTGTAACTTCTGAAGTTCCCTGGCTGCTGGTTATCTTGAAGTAAATCTTTGTTCATTGTAGTTTGGTTCAAGACAGGAAAAACCACTCCAAAAAATTATCAAACCCTGCTAGCAAAGAATTTAAAAAAAAAAAAAAAATTGGATTTCCCAGTATGGATTTTTTGCATATGATCTGTATAGTAGTATGCATATGTTTTTGTGCATGTTCTCTAAACAGTTGTATCACGTCAATGTATTTAACTATTGCACTTGTCAACTTTCAATAAAGCATACAATGTTGATAAATCACTGTTTGTATATTGTACTAATTTTAACTGCAATTCAACATGTTGCAGTGCAGTTTTACATGAGCAGTGAGGTCAGGAAGCATATGGCTGGGTGTGAGATCCTCTCTGTTGGGTTCAGAGCTTTAGTTTTGGCTAAAACTGCAGCTCCCGCTTTCCACAGTTTCTTAAAAATGCAGTGAGTATGAAGTCAAGTGAAGGAGGGAGGAGTAGAGGGCCTGACTAAGAGCAAAGCTCCTTTTTTTTGTCCAACCCTGTACAGTCAGGACTGTTTGGTGCCTTCTGTACATCAAGTAGTAGATCAGCTGTAAAGGTATAAATCTCATGCAACAGTTCTTCCCTAGTAGCAAACGGCCCTTGCCTGGGCACAGGTCATCCCATGCTGGCAGCAGCTCTGATGACTTTAATTTGAGGTGACAAAGGCAGTGGGCATTACAGCTTCCCCAGCAAGTCAACAATAGCGCTGCCTTCTCTAGAAAACCTCTAGTGATGAGACCAGGCTGAAATCGCCATGTCCAAGAATTTATCACTTTCACCTCCACAGCTCTTATCTTGATTATTTCCTTTTTTTTTTTTTTTAATGAGCTTGAAATTGTGTAAACTTGTATTAATGCTGCCCTGTGAAACTGTTGAGGAAAATTTCCAGTCCTGTGTGAAGATAAAACTGTTTCACTTTGGTTTGAAAAAATACTTTTTTCCTCTTTAGTCATGTTAATTAAAAGATAACTGAATCTAAACCTGCAAATTTCTAGGTGAAAGAGTATATAGATGGGGTGTGATAGTCTGCAACTGGCAGTTTTACAGTGGGTTCTGTTTACTGGTGTTAATGATGAGTCTTGGATACTTACAGTATTCACAATTAATGGGATAAAATGGTCAGTTCTTTTGGGGTAGTAGGATGGCACTTGGACCATGAAAGAAATGTCCTAAAATTTGTGTTAATTTCACTTAGCCTGTAAGAGTTAATTAAAAAGCTTTTTATATGGTCTTATATGACTGCTTACTCTATACATTGAAAATCAGGAGGTACTGTTCTTGTGGAACTTCATATTATTAAGTCAGGTGTAGCAGAGGGCTGAGAAGGCTGAGGGTTCAAAGGCAGGATAGATCACCTTTCTGTGATTTATGACTAAATTCTTGCTTTTGGGTACTCATTGTGCAGCAGTTCAGGCACTGCTTGGCTGTATCAGGGTGCAAGCAGTTGCAATACTTTTATTTGTGCTTAGTATATCCAAGTGCGTGCACGGGTGGGTGTCTGTGGGAGTGTGAACTTTAATTTGTAGTCTGTGTTCTTGAGACTTCGGTGTATGATTTAGGAGCGTTCTTAATGAGCAAACACCAGAGAGAAATGCAAGATGCTTTTTTTTGATGGATTAAACTAAAATTAGAAACTGATGCTAGCCTTTGTGGCAGAACAGCACTTGAATTATCTGGATCTGACAAAAGGAATGCTAATTTTGGTGCTTTTTAAATGGCTTAATTGTCTCCAGTTGCCTTTATATTTGGAATGTCTCTTTAGCACTTCCAGGCCGCAACACTGAGTATATTAAAAAGTCCATCTTAACATGCAGATAGACTTTTTCATCTGCTTCACTGACGAAAATTTACAAAGAATTATTTTTTTGTTTAAAAATAAATTGACCTCTGGATTTATTTCTTTTACTTTGTTTAAAGGACAACCTGAGCATATACAGTATCTGGAAGTCTGAAGGTTTTCAAGTTAAGTAGTACGTTGATAATTTTAGTACGCTGTGCTTCAATGTTGACAAATCGGGTCATTTAGTCTCACGTATTGAATAGTTTTAAAACTATGGAGCCAGTTCTTGGAGCTGTTAATTGCTAAAGTTAGAGCAATGTTTTGTTGCCGAGATGATTTTAGCAATAGCTCGATCAAAATTGCAGCCTCTCTCCATGAAACGGATTCAAATTGACTACAGTTGCACTTGAGACCCAAACACAGAGTAGATGTCTCAGTCGGTTATGTTGTAATACTTCTGGAATTAATTGTTTTGATTTTTACTTTTGTTCTAGAACAAATAATTTTTCAGAGCACTTTAAATCAAGTGTTATCAGTAGTCAAGAATATTGTTTTTTTCCACCTGAATTTTTCTCTGTACAAACTCTGCGATGCTCAGGTTTTCATGCACAGTGAGAATCAAATTAAATTATCTGTCTTTTATATATCAGGCTTTGTATTCTCTGTGTATCTCCAGTAACTCTTCAGGCTATATTCAAGCTGTTTGTCATTTAACTTCTTGTTGACATTTAGCTGCACACTTGCTTTATTTTTTAACAGCAATATGATAAACTGATCTAAGCAAATTATCACGGAGACCAAGTTGCTATTTTTTTCCTCTTGCAGCTTTTTTTTTTTTTTTTAATGAATGATTTTTGGCAAATAATTCTAAAGCAAGTTCAGATTGTGCAGATTCTGGGGCTCTGTAAATACTTGGGGAAGAGAAGTATGCTTCAATAACATGCCTGAAAACTGTCCAGAGAGCATGCAGACAAAACCTCCCAGCAGCAGTGGAATAAATGCAGTGCCTTAGAGATGCCTCCCCCTAATTCTTATGGGACAAATCAATGCCCCCGAGGCAGCTTCCTCTTTCGACTGGAGAAAGAACCCAGCGAGGCTATTTGGGAATTGCCACCCTTGATTTCTGTAGCTACAGTGGATGTCTTAATACAAAGAATTTTAATTATTCCTTGTGGAGTGAAATGGCAGAACTTGGGCTCACTGGCTGAAGGCATTCTTGTTTAGCCATGTGCAAGACTTCTTATTAAGCATCTTGAGTACTTTCAGTAGGAGTTTACATTTTACAGATGTTGTGTTATTTCTTGCTTTTCTCCCCTCCCTGTGGGATTATGCATTTTAACTTTCTGGACAGTTTTCTGCTGGGGTGAACCTGAAACAAGTTATAAATCCAAGGCTTTGCCTAAACTGGAAATTAGCCCAATTCCAACTATTGCTGGTCAGTGTGTATGAAACTAAATGGAGAATGATTGCTGGAGGGAGCTCCTGGGAAGTCCAGCATTTGAAATGCTTGTTTGAAGATAGTCTGAAAAAACACCTGCCACTGTCCCGATCCTTTTCCTGCCATGAGTAAACAGACTCTTCTGATTGCATTTAGTATGTGTTGAGCTAGGCCAATAAATGGTCTGTTTGAAAATCCAGTGGTGAGGAGTTACCAGCAGACACTGGCAACTGCCCTCCTGAATGGGGATCCAGTTTCCAACAGGAGCAAAGCTAAGCTCAACAATGAAGTTAAAAGCCAAACTATGAATAAACTAAGTTCCTTACATTGTAAATACATTGGGAAAGGGCAGCAGTTCAAAAGGGAAAAAGAGCAAAACTGCGATGACTTTCCTTGAAATGAAGTCCCGGGTGTTGATTGTTCCTTGAGATGCCCCCAGGAGAGTTGTGCTGCGCCAAGAGGTAAGAGACTTTGTCTAGCACATGGCCAAGAGGCTCCCAAAATGCAGCACAATGGGAATTTGGGAACAGTGTAACAGCCAACTGAGGAAAGGGAAAAAGTTCTTCAAAACCTTGTTCCTGAGCTAAGCCAGGTTCTTAGATCATCTTGAAGCTTAACTTTGATTCTTCAGCTGCATTGGGTGGGGGTGGCTTTTCAGTGATGTGTATGTGGTAATACAAATTGGATGCAGTTCAAGTTGTCATGAGAAAATGTCTACACAAAAAAAAAAAGGTCATAGCACTCCAGTTTACAGTCTTCCAGTTTGGGTGGAATGAGAACTCAGTTCTCCCTCTTTGGAGCTCTTAAGGCACTGTAAAACGCGGGCAGGTTGACATCTGGTAAATGCAAGCTCAGGGCAAATCCACCTGAATCTTGGAAATACTGAAAGGACAGAGAATAAAATTTGTCAGTCTTTAAAAAACAAAGTCAAGCAGAACAAGCCTATATGGCCTTCTGAAGGGAGCACAGATCTGTTGTTCATCAGGGGTATGGGAAGGGAGGGAGATGAGCTTGTTTGTGGATCACTGAAATTATTGTCAGCTGCTTTCTAGTCCAATGTACGTTCAGGATCTCTAGGAGTTGAAAGCTGGCTATCTGTGCTGAGCTTCCAGATCTCTCCCCAAAATCTTGTTTAAAGTATCTTCCTACATTATGCTCCCTGTGAAGGCTGCAGTAAATGGTCATTCTTCCTTTCATTAGTTTTATTACTGAGAACCAGCCTGTTCTGCCTCTCCGCTGCTGCTTTAATCAAAGCTTTCCTACCAGATAGCCATCAGAAAGACATCTGCAATTCAATTAGATATGTGCTTAAACTCATGATCTCTGTGAAACCTGCTGCTGCCAGAACACAGTGCCCTCCACGCCATGGATTCGCCGGGGCTGCAGCCTGCAGGGCTCCGCTCCAGCACTTCTGCCTCCTGCCACTGGCTCATCTGCCCTCATGCCCCACTGGCCCTGCTTGCTGGTGCTTGAAATGAGGACCCATTCTGCACAGGAGGTTGGTAGGAGTTTATTTCTTCTTCCTTCTAAAGCAGGAGAGAAGCTAGAAATATGGTACCACTCAGGAGCCACAAAATCCACTTTATAACGTATAAAGTGATTGCTGCAGAGTAGGATGAGAAGTAGGTAGAAGAAGGAGGTGGGATGAAGAAGCTCCAAAGGTGCCCCAAGGGTAAGTTATAGCACCTTTTCCATGGGCATGAAAGCATGATGAACTGATGGGAACGTTCATATCAAAAGAAGTCTGACCTTTATTTTCACAGACTTTGCAGTCTCCAGTGCTGTAAGTGCACATCCACTGGTGCCAGCCACCTTCTGGACCACCATTCTTGCTTGCAGTGACCCTGTGAGGTGGCCAAGGTGAAGCCCAAATGCCTTCTGGGCAGACCGGACCCACCGAGCCTCTGCGAGGAACAACTCTTTGGAAACATTTCCTCAGTCCTAGAGGTAAAGGTGACCTCCAAGTGACATCAGGTTGGTCCCTGACTGGTACTACAACCTTGTTTAAAAATACTCCAGAAAGATG